TTCTACCTCAAGGTCCGAGGCAGTTGAGTAGTTCGGCAGCTGTCATGAGAATAGTTGCATTGACTCACACAGTGTCCTTTGAGGGAGATTCAAATGATCCTTTGGTGTCCATGGGAAAGATCTCCTTCCAGCAGCCAAGAAGCAAAAAATACGAACTTCCTTAGCAAGCTCCTGCACAGAAAACCTAAACATGTAACCGTTGCAAAAACTCCCAGGCTCAGCTAACTTCCGGGCATGGCGCAACCAATCAGTTTTATGCTTTGCATTTTTCAGTTAACACACTCACCAACTGATTTTTACATGCTCCAACACTTGTTGTATAATATCGATTTCTTTTTCTGTCTTTAGCACATTGGAATTGAAATTAAAGGGATTCATGAACCGCACAGAGTCTTGGAAGAAGCTGTCAGACATGCGGAACATCTTCTGGTTCAACAAGACACCCGTTTCAGGTATCAGAAGTGGAAGAATTGTTTCAGAAAGCCTAAACACAAAGGGCGGATCTACACTGCCATATAATCCAGACGATCAAAGCAGATAATCCACAATATCTGCTTTGAACTGGATTATATGAGTCCATACTGACATATAATCCAGTTCAAAGCAGATAATCTGGATATTACATGGCAGTAATACTACATCTGGATATTACATGGCAGGGAGCATCGACACTGTAGAATGAATGCACTTTGACCCACTTTAACAACCAAGGCTCAATGCCCTGGAGTATTGGGAGTTGTAGTTTTACAAAAATGTAGCCTTCTCTGCCCGAGAGTGCTGGTGCCTCACCAAACAACAACTCCCAAGACTCTAGAGCACTGAGACATAGGAGTTCAAGTGGTGTTAAACTGCATTAATTCCATAGTGTAGATGCACTTCTGTCTTGAATAGCTTTGCTCAGATTCTGCAACTTAGGGAGCATCTAAACCAGGTATGGGCAAACACAGGCCCAGGGACTGGATGTGGTCCTTTGGGCTCTTGTCTCAGGCCCTCCTCACTCACCATCCTATCCTTCCTTCCTTCTCTTTCATTCCTCCTTCCCTTCCTCTTTCTCGTTCCCTTCCACCCTTTCATCTTTCTTTCCTTTTCTCTTTCCTCCCTTCCATCCATGCATCCATCCATCCATCCTTCCTTCCTTCCTTCCTTCCTTCCTTCCTTCCTTCCTTCCTTCCTCCTTCCTTCCTTCCTTCCCTTCCACCTTTTCCTTCCTTCCTTTTTTTCCTTCCTTCTCTCTTCCTTTCACTCCTTCCCTCCTCCCTCTCTTCCTCCCTCTCCCTCCTTCCATCCTTCCCTTCCCCTTCTTCCTTCCTTCCTTCTCCTTCTTCCTTCCTTCCTTCTTTCCTTCCCTCCCTCCCTCCCTCCCTCCTTCCCTCCCTCCCTCCCTCCCTCCCCTTCCTTCTCCTTTGTCTTTATTTCCTTCTCTCTTTCCTTTATCCTTCCCTTCCTTTCTTCCATCCTTCATCCTTTGTTCCTTTTCTTTTTCTTATTTCTTCTCTATTTCTTCCTCCTTCCCTTCCTTCTCCTTCCTTCCCTTTCTCCTTCCTTCCTCTTCTTTCCTTCCTCTTCCTCTTTCCTTCCTCCTTTCTCCCTTCCTCCCTTTTCTCCTTCCTTCCTTCCCTTTTTTCTTTCCTTCCTTTTTCTTTCCTTCTTCCTCTCTTTCCTTCCTCCTTCCCTCCCTCCCTTTTTCCTTCCATCTTTCCCTTCCACCCTTTCATCCTTCCTTCCCTCTTTCCTCCCTCTTTGTCCTTCCTTCCCCTTTGTCTTTCTTTCCTTCTCTCTTTTCTTTATCCTTCCCTTCCTTTCTTCAATGCTTCATCATTTCTTCTCTTTTTCTTCTTTCCTTCCTTGCATCCTTCCTTTCCACTGTTTCATCCTTCCTTCCCTCCTTCCCTTTTGTCTTCCCTTCCTTCCCTCTTTCCTCCCTCTTTGTCCTTCCTTCCCCTTTGTCTTTCTTTCCTTCTCTCTTTCTTTATCCTTCCCTTCCTTTCTTCAATGCTTCATCATTTCTTCTCTTTTTCTTCTTTCCTTCCTTGCATCCTTCCTTTCCACTGTTTCATCCTTCCTTCCCTCCTTCCCTTTTGTCTTCCCTTCCTTCCCTCTTTCCTCCCTCTTTGTCCTTCCTTCCCCTTTGTCTTTCTTTCCTTCTCTCCTTTATCCTTCCCTTCCTTTCTTCAATGCTTCATCATTTCTTCTCTTTTTCTTCTTTCCTTCCTTGCATCCTTCCTTTCCACTGTTTCATCCTTCCTTCCCTCCTTCCCTTTTGTCGTCCCTTCCTTCCCTCTTCCCTCCCTCCTTCCCTCTCTGTCTTTCTCCTTCCACCACCCTTTCATCCTTCCTTCCCTCTTTCCTCCCTCTTTGTCCTTCCTTCCCCTTTGTCTTTCTTTCCTTCTCTCTTTTCTTTATCCTTCCCTTCCTTTCTTCAATGCTTCATCATTTCTTCTCTTTTTCTTCTTTCCTTCCTTGCATCCTTCCTTTCCACTGTTTCATCCTTCCTTCCCTCCTTCCCTTTTGTCGTCCCTTCCTTCCCTCTTCCCTCCCTCCTTCCCTCTCTGTCTTTCTCCTTCCATCCTTCCTTCTCTCTTTCCTTCCTCCTTCCTTCCATCACCGGGCAGCCAGTCTTCCTCACAGGGAGTGCTAACACGTGGCCCCCAAGTTAGAAAGTTTGCCTGTGCCTGGTCTAAATGGTAGACTTAATGCAGTTTGAACCCACTTGAACTGCCATGGCCCAATGTTATGGGACCATGGGAGTTATAGTTCAATGAGGCAGTGACATTCTTGGACAGAGTTGAAAGATGCTGTGAAACTACAACTCTCAAGATAAACGGTATGTCTTCTCTCTCTAGAATATGTTGCTGAACACTGGGAAGAAGATACTTTCTTTGGCTACCAATATCTGAATGGTGTCAACCCTGTGGTCATTGAGAAATGCACAGAGATCCCATCCAATTTTCCTGTCACTCAGGAAATGGTTGCTGGGTCCCTTGCAGAGTCTACAACTCTCCAGGAAGAAGTGCAGGTAACTTGTCTTCCGTCTTTTCCTTTTCCTAGTGAATGGGTTTTTGTTGTACTTTTATGGGTGCATCTACACTGCAGAATGAATGCAATATGGGCCCACTTGAATTGCCATGGCTTAATGTTATGGAAACCTGGGAGATGTAGTTTTACTAGGTTCTTAGGTTTCTCTGCCAAATAGTGCTGGCGCCTCATCAAATTACAGTTCCTAGGATGCTATAGTGTTGAGCCAGATCTGTCTAAGTAGTGTCAAACTGCATTAATTTTACAGTGCAGATGCACCACATGAGATGGGTTGTTAGGATGGATCCGTTCCAGGTTTTAGTCTGAACTTTAAAGAGACTATGGGTTATAATGGATGCTTTTGGCAGGTAGTTGAATACTTTAATATTTAGAGTGCATCTGCAGTGTAGATATCCAGTTAGGCTCCACTTTTACTTCCACGACTAGTACTGCATAATCCTGGGATCTGTAGTTTGATGATGCACCAGAGAAGGCTAAAGATCTTGTAAAACTACAACTCCCAGAATTCCATAGCATTGAGCCATGGCAGCTTAAGTGGCCTCAACACTGCATTAATTCTACAGTGTAGATGCACTCAAGGATGCTTCTTTAATGTTTGGACTAAAACCCGGAGTGGATTCACGATCCTATTGATGTAGAAGCCCAACTCCCACTGTTCTCAACTAAACAGCACACCAATCCAAGCCAAAGTTGGGGTAAATTATTTAATTTTGGATAACAACTCCCAGAATCCAGCTATTCCCAAAAGTAGTCCCACTCTTCATATGGTGACATCTAAGCAGCCACCAAAAAAACTCCCATTTATAGCTGGTCATGCTACTAGTCCTCATTGTTTTCTTCTTTCTGACTTGTAAAGAAGGGGAACATCTTCATTGTGGATTATGAGATCCTGCAAGGCATCCCAACCAACATTATTGAAGGCGAGCGGCAGTATTTGGCCATTCCTCTCTGTCTCTTCTACCAGACGCCAACCAGGGACCTCATCCCCATTGCGATCCAGGTAAATAAAGGGATAGAAACACACTTTCGCTCCATTCTTGCATCTCAAGGTGCATCTACACTGCATCGTTAATGCAGTTTGAACCCACTTTAACTGCCAAAGCTCAATTGTATTGAATCCTGAGATCTGTAGTTTGGCAAAGAAGGCTAAAGACCTTGCAAGACTGCTACTCCTAGGATAATACAGCATTGAGCATGGCGGTCAAAGTGGTTTCAAACTACATTCATTCTACAGTGTAGATGCACCTTCAGAGTACATCAGGTTTTTACATTTTGCAAAGAGTAGGGCCTAGCTTCACAAAATGCAAAACACTGCAAGTGCAAGGACCTTCTCGAGTTTTCCAGAGCATGAAACTTGGTATTTAGTAATCCATTTAAAACTTTTGGAAATTAGAAATAACTACTGTAATTAGTGACATTTATTTCACATGCTTCTAAGGTAATGCTCAAGATACTGCAAGGTAGACTCCAGCAATACATGGAGAGAGAGTTGCCAGATGTACAAACTGGGTTTTGATGGTGTGGTGAGTGAATTAGAAACAGACATCCTGAGGAATGAGGTTGAATGGGCCTTAAGAAGCATTGCTAATAACAAGGGGTTTATATATCTGTGGAATAATATCCAGGGTGGGAGAAAGAACTCTTGTCTGTTGGAGGCAAGCATGAATGTTGCAATTGGAGACCTTGATTAGCATCGAATAGCCTTGTGGCTTCAAAACCTTCTGCTTCCTGCCTGGGGAATTCTTTGGAGGCGTTAGCTGGTTGCTTCCTGCCTGGTGAATCCTTTGGAGGTGTTAGCTGGCCCTGATTGTTTCCTGTTTGGAATTCCCCTGTTTTCTGAGTGTTGTTCTTTATTTACTGTCCTGCTGCAAGGCTATTCAATTCTAATCAAGGTGGCCAATTGCAACATTCACACCTACCTCAAACAGACAAGAGTTCTTTCTCCCACCTTAGACATTCCACAGATATGTAAACCCCACTTGCCTAGTTTCCAATAGACCTCATAACCTCTGAGGATGCCTGCCATAGATGTGGGGAAAACGTCAGGAGAGAATGCTTCTGGAACATGGCCATACAGCTCAGAAAACTTACAGCAACCCAGTGAATCCAGCCATGAAAGCTTTTGACAACACATGTTGAATTGGTTGAGACTTGATGAGATATTAATTGAAAAACTATAGCAAAATGTGTTGCAGGATGTCCCTCCTGCAAAAACAACGTTTTTGCAGTTTAATAAACATATTCCATTATGGGTTGCAGAGAGTTTTCAGGACTGTATGGCTGTGTTCCATATTATTATGATAGAAATAATTATGAAAAGGCATTTATAATCAATTTGCAGACGACACCAAATTGGGAGGGAGAGCCAATACTCCAGAAGACAGGAGCAGGATACAAAACGATCTTGACAGATTAGAGAGATGATTGGCCAAAACTAACAAAATGAAGTTCAACGGGGACAAATGCAAGATACTCCACTTAGGCAGAAAAAACGAAATGCAAAGATACAGAATGGGGGACGATGAGGCCTGGCTCGAGAGCAGTACGTGTGAAAAAGATCTTGGAGTCCTCGTGGACAACAAGTTAAACATGAGCCAACAATGTGATGTGGCGGCAAAAAAAGCCAATGGGATTTTGGCCTGCATCAATAGGAGCATAGTGTCTAGATCTAGGGAAGTCATGCTCCCCATGCTCTGTTCTGCTTTGGTTAGACCACACCTGGAATATTGTGTCCAATTCTGGGCACCACAATTCAAGAGAGATATTGACAAGCTGGAATGTGTCCAGAGGAGGGCGACTAAAATGAACAAGCCCTATGAGGAGCGGCTTAAGGAGCTGGGCATGTTTAGCCTGAAGAAGAGAAGGCTGAGAGGAGATATGATAGCCATGTATAAATATGTGAGAGGAAGCCACAGGGAGGAGGGAACAAGCTTGTTTTCTGCTTCCCTGGAGACTAGGACGCAATGGAACAATGGCTTCAAACTACAAGAGAGGAGATTCCATCTGAACATGAGGAAGAACTTCCTGACTGTGAGAGCCGTTCAGCAGTGGAACTCTCTGCCCCGGAGTGTGGTGGAGGCTCCTTCTTTGGAAGCTTTTAAACAGAGGCTGGATGTTGTGTTGTGTTGTGTTTTGAGGCCTTGGCCTATGTAAGCTGCATCGAGTCCTTCGGGAGATGCTAGCGGGGTACAAATAAAGTTATAATGGCCATCTGTCAGGGGCGATTTGAATGCAATATTCCTGCTTCTTGCCCGGGGGTTGGACTGGATGGCCCATGAGGTCTCTTCCAACTATTTGATTCTGTTAATCTACCCAGGAACAAAAATCGTGTTGCGTAGTGTAATTAGCTGGAATTTCTTTTGGAAACTGGAATCAATAAAGAGAACAAAGCAGAGAGTTGGGTCACCTTTTTAAAGTTCAGACTAAAGTCCAGAACGGGTTCAATGCCGCCAGTTATTACTGGTTGGCACCTTGCTTAGGGAACATTTGTTGGCATTTTAAGCAGAATTTGGGAAGGTTAACGTTTTTGGACTACAGCTTCCAGAATCCCCAAACAGCATAGCTACTAGGAGTTGCAGTACAGAAAATATTATTGTGGTTAGGATTTGATGGCTGGCTGGCTGGGTTTGAGTGTGTGGTTCTGTTCTGTATTGTGACCCATTCCAATACTCTTGGTCCATTCCTCAGCTCAGCCAAACTCCTGGTCCCGAGAACCCCATTTTCCTCCCTAGCGACTCCAAGTGGGACTGGATCCTGGCGAAGATGTGGGTGCGGAACGCTGATTTCCACATCCACCAAAACCTTTCGCACCTCCTGCGGACGCACCTGATGGCCGAGATCTTTTCGATGGCCGCCCTCCGGCAACTGCCCATGTGCCACCCACTCTTCAAGGTACGGCAATGGGATGGCACTACAACTCCCAGATTCCCCAGCAAAGACTCTGGGAATTATTTATTTATTTACTGTATTTGTATACAGTAAATATACTGCATTTGCATATATTGTCTAGTCGTTCCATTTTCCTATGTCAGTTACTCTGCATTTGTAAACGCTTGTCCAAAAAGCCACGTCTTGACTTTTTTCCAACTTTATTTTTTGGATTCTAGGAATTGTTGTCTTTTCAGCCAACTGAAGAGGTCCTTGCATCCATTTAGGGTGTGTTTACATTGTAGAATGAATGTAGTTTGACACTGCTATGGGATCCTGGGAGTTGTAGTTTGTCGAATCACAAGAAGCCACGTCGTGACTTTTTTCCGGGTTTATTTTTTGGATTCTAGGAATTGTCATCTTTTGAGCTGACTGAAGAGATCCTTGCATCCATTTAGGATGTGTTTACATTGTAGAATGAATGTAGTTTGACACTGCTATGGGATCCTGGGAGTTGTAGTTTATCAAATGACAAGAAGCCACGTCTTCGCTTTTTCCCGGATTTATATTTTGGATTCTAGGAATTGTTGTCTTTTCAGCCAACTGAAGAGGTCCTTGCATCCATTTAGGGTGTGTTTACATTGTAGAATGAATGCAGTTTGACACTGCTATGGGATCCTGGGAGTTGTAGTTTGTCGAATCACAAGAAGCCACGTCTTGACTTTTTTTCCGGGTTTATTTTCTGGATTCTAGGAATTGTCGTCTTTTGAGCCAACTGCATCCATTTAGGGTGTGTTTACATTGTAGAAGGAATGTAGTATGACATTGCTCAAGGCTATGGGATCCTGGGAGTTGTAGTTTACCAAGGCACTCGTACTCTTTGGCAGAGAGGGCTAAAGACCTTGTGATCACAGAAATCATGGGAGTTGTTCTTCGAGGTGGCTAGTCTTCCCTGTCAGAGAAATGCTGGTGCCTCTCTAAACTACAACTCCCATAATTCCAGCATGGAGCCGTAGCAGTTAAAATGGTGTCAAACTGCATTAGTTCTATAGCGTAGATCAGGATTGGGTCAACTTTGGCCCTCCAGGTGTTTTGGACTCCAACTCCCACAATTCCTAACAGCCTACCGGCTGTCAGAAATTGTGGGAGTTGGAGTCCAAAACACCTGGAGGGCCGAAGTTGGCCAACACCTGGTGTAAATGCACCCTTAGAATAAAAACTCAACTGCACACATTCAGGAAACAATATTAAGATTATACAGTATAAGATTAGGATGCATACTACCCTCTGTTGTTGGACTACAGCTCCCAGTAGCCATAGCCAGCATAACCATTGAAAAAGAATGCTGGGATTTGTAGTCCCACCACAATCAGAGAGCCTTATGATTATGTAGTACTTAAATCTAAGTGTTATCTATATGGATGTGAAATGTTAAAGAAAGCCAATGTGATGTAACTGTTTTGAGTGATTAGGAGACTACGGTTTGGATCTCTGGTTGGTCAGTGTGTGATTTTCCAAAGTCTCTTCCAATCCAAAGATATGAGGATTTAATGCTGTTTCTCTCCATCCTGCAGCTGCTGATTCCTCACTTGCGATACACCCTCCAGATCAACACTTTGGCCCGAGTCAGGCTGATCAAGGAAGGAGGCATGATGGATAGGGTAAGACTGGGTGCCATTTCCACTCTTATTTATTGTGTCTGTTTAGTATGTTTTGATGCCATTCCCTCCTGGCTGGATTCTCAGACCAAGCCAGCAATCCATCCAAGGTAAGATTTTACTATTTTCTCCTATTCAAAATTAATTTAATTTAATTACAACATTTATATGCCGCCCTTCTCACCCCAAAGGGCTTACAAGTTATATGTACATACAATATATTATTAGCATATAGCACAATATTAGTATTATATATTACTATATTGTACTATAACACCATGCTGTAATATTATTAGTAATATTACATGTAATCTATATAAATAAAAATGTAATGTTTATTTGTGGGACTAACAGAACTCAAAAACCACTGGGCGAATTGACACCAAATTTGGACACAAGACACCTAACAACCCAATGTATGTCCATCACTCAAAATTTTTTTGATTTTGTCATTTGGGAGTTGTAGTTGCTGGGATTTATAGTTCACCTACAATCAAAGAGCATTCTGAATACCCCCAACGATGGAATTGAACCCAACTTGGCACACAGTTCTTCCATGACCCACAGAAAATACTGGAAGGGTTTGGTGGGCAGTGTCCTTTGGTTTTGGAGTTGTAGTTCATCTACATCCAGAGATCGCTGTGGACTAAAACAATGATGGATCTGGACCAAACTCTACACAAATACTCGATATGCTCAAATGTAAACACTGGTGGAGTTTGGGGAAAATAGAATCTTGACATTTGGGAGTTGTAGTTGCTGGGATTTACAGTTCACCTTCAATCACAGAGCATTCTGAACCCCACCAATGATAGAATTGGGCTGAACTTCCCACACAGAACCCCCATGTGGGCCACAGCAACATGTGGCAGGGGACGGCTAGTATGAAATATATTATATTTCATACTAACCGCATTGAGTCGCCTGTTTGGGCTGAAAAATGCGGTATAGAAATAAAGCAAATAATAATAATATATTGTATTATTATTAGTAATTATTATAATTTGGACTCCAACTCCCACAATTCCTAACAGCCTCAGCTCCTTTATTTATTTATTTATTTATTTACAGTATTTATATTCTGCCCTTCTCACCCCGCAGGGCGGATTATATACATAGTAAACATTCAGTGCCATAGACAGACAACATATATAGACAGGCACTCAGAGGCTATTTAACATTTCAGCTTTTCATGAGGGTATTCTAGCCACCAGGGGAGCTGTTGCTTCACCGTCCATTTGTGACACTGATGAAGTACTTCCTCATTCTTTGCATGCTTGCTGGAGATTTTTATGGTCTTGTAAATTAGTTAAATTAGCCTCCCTGCATAAGCGGTACCTAAATTTCCTACTTGACAGATGCAGCTGTCCTTTTGGGCTGCAAAGGTTGACAGCAAGCTACACAAATTGGTCACTCCAACCTGGACTGGCTTTGAACTCATGACCATTCAGTCAGTAGTGATCTTAATGCAGCTGACTCCCAGCCAGGTGTGCCACACAGTCCCTCTTCCTTGTCCCCCTCAGCCACTTAAGGAAGAGGTTTGACGCTGTTAGGAATTGTGGGAGTTGGAGTCTAAAACATCTGGAGGGAGGGCCGAAGTTTGCCCATGCCTGGTGTAGATGCACCTTAAGTTGCAGTATTTTCACTTCGTTTGACATGCATAAGCATTGCAGATTTGCATTTTAAGTAAAGGTAAAGGTTCACCCCTGATATTAAATCCGGTCGTGTCCGACTCTGGGAGCTGGGACTCATCTCCATTTCTAAGCAGAAGAACCAGCATTGTCCATAGACATCTCCAAGGTCATGTGTCCGGCATGACTGCATGGCTGGAACAGTACCTATTGCTCTATTCAAATTTGCATGTTTTCGAACTGCTTTGTTGTTGTTCATTCGTTCAGTCGTCTCCGACTCTTCGTGACCTCATGGACCAGCCCACGCCAGAGCTCCCTGTCGGCCGTCACCACCCCCAGCTCCTTCAAGGTCAGTCCAGTCACTTCAAGGATGCCATCCATCCATCTTGCCCTTGGTCGGCCCCTCTTCCTTTTGCCTTCCACTTTCCCCAGCATAATTGTCTTCTCTAGGCTTTGCTGTCTCCTCATGATGTGGCCAAAGGACTTCAACTTTGTCTCTAGTCTCCTTCCCTCCAATGAGCAGTCGGGCTTTATTTCCTGGAGGATGGACTGGTTGGATCTTCTCGCAGTCCAAGGCACTCTCAGAACTTTCCTCCAACACCACAGCTCAAAAGCATCTATCTTCCTTCGCTCAGCCTTCCCTAAGGTCCAGCTCTCACATCCGTAGGTGACTACAGGGAATACCATGGCTTTGACTATGCGGATCTTTGTTGCCAGTGTGATGTCTCTACTCTTTACTATTTTATCGAGACTGGACATTGCTCTCCTCCCAAGAAGGAAGCGTCTTCTGATTTCCTGGCCACAGTCTGCATCTGCAGTAATCTTTGCGCCTAGAAATACAAAGTCTGTCATGGCCTCCACATTTTCTCCCTCTATTTTCCTTCGAACTGCTAGATTCGCAGAATTTGTATAGATTTGCATTATGTGGTGTTTAATTTTGCAGGCCACGTCAGCCGGTTACGAAGGGATTGTTCCTCTGGTGGCCAAGGGGGCTTCCAGGCTGACCTACTCTTCCCTCTGCCTCCCGGAAGACATTGAAGCCCGTGGAGTCTCTGCAGTGGCCAACTATTACTACCGGGATGATGCCATGAACGTTTGGGTTGCCATTGAAAGGTGAACGTTGGTCCGAAAGGCAATAAATAGAGAGTAGCATGGAGGGGAGTGAAGATGGAGGGAGGGACCTGACCTTGGAAAAGTTGGCCTTTAGGGACTGTATCTCCCAGAATCCATGGACTCAGGGTGGTGAATAACAAAGTCAGCAAACATTCAATGCCCTACAAAAAGAAAGAGACATAAACAAATAACCATCCCACCCCAAAACCTTGCAGATCCATATTTAAACCAAATTGTCTTACATGTTGTTGTTGTTGTTGTTGTTGTTGTTGTTGTTATTTTGTTTCTATCTCACCTTTTTCCCCATAGGGACTCAAGGCGGCTAACAACCACACAACCTAACAAAAAAAATAAAATAAAATAAATACAAAATTAAAATAACCAATTAATATTAGTACGTGGATATAAAGTTAAAATACAGTAAATGAAACCCTCTGGGGTGTCACTCTTAATGTTAATGTTACCTTTCCATCCAAAGACACCCCCCAAAAGTAGGCATGGTTCTTTTAGGAGTTGTGAACAATGGGATGGAGGTGTCTCTTGATCAATCCTTTGAGGCTGCCTCTTCCAAAGTGGAATAGAACTAATTTTTCCTATGAGTTGTTTTGGCACCGTAATAACCATGGCTATAATTCCTAACTTTTCGGCAGAGCAGGAACTACCTGTTACTGTATTACTTGTTACTGTGTGAGCTGTGAGAGGAGGAAGAGGAAGGATCCCATGGGTTGCTTCACCCAAGAAGCTGTATCCATGTCTTGTCAAAGGCTTTCATGGCCAGAACCACTGGGTTGCTGTGATTTTTCCAGGTTATATGGTCAAGTTCCAGAAGCATTCTCTTCTGACGTTTCACCCACATCTATGTCAGGCATCTTCAGAGGTTTTGACAATTGACAAGCATGTGGACAATTTCAACAGAAAGGAGGAAACCATGAAAATGAACAAAATCTGGCTACCAGTATTAAAAAAATTATAAAATTAAAACAGCAAAACAGCAGACGGAAAAACAGGGACATCTAATCACCTCTCAACAAAAGATTGCTCCAGGCATTGCCAGGCAATCAAATGCTAATCAAGGTGGTCAGTTGAAACATTCACACCTAGCTCCAGAAGACAAGAGTCCTTTGTCTCACTTCCAACAGACCTCACTACCTCTGAGGATGCTTGCCATCGATGCAGGCGAAACGTCAGGAGAGAATGCCTCTAGAACATGGCCATATACCCCGAAAAAACCTCCACAACCAGTGATTCCGGCCATGAGAGCCTTCGACAATACATTGACCATACAGCCTGGAAAACTTGCAGCAACCCAGGTATCCGTGTCTCTTGTGATTTCCAACTTGCAATATCTAAACCTAACACTTGGTGGCACCAAAGAACAATTTCTATTGCTTCCCAATGGCACAATCGCACCAACATTTGGTACATCTTACAGTTTAGAATTAATGCTATGGAATCATGTTGTCATTTTTTGAGGTGCTTCCCATGATTCCATAACCTTGAGCCATGGCAGTTAAATTGAGGTCAAACTACAGTAATTCAACAGTGTAGATGCACCCTTAATTATGAGCAACTCGGGGAACTATCCTTCTGAACTGCCATAGGAAGTAATGTTGGATGTCAAGGGTTGCAAGTAATTGTTTTCTTCATAATGGTCACATTCCAAGATTTGGTGCACTGACTGCTTGATCTCCCTTGTGTTCCAGCTTTGTGAGGGACATGGTCAGGTACTATTACTGGAGTGATGACCGTGTCCAGAACGACCCAGAGCTCCAAGCCTGGATCCAGGAGGTCTTCAGGGAAGGTTTCCAAAGCAGGGAGAATTCAGGCGCTCCTTCTTCTCTGGGGACGAGGGAAGAGCTCATCAAATTCATGACAATGGTGATTTTCACCTGCTCAGCTCAACATGCCGCAGTCAACAGTGGACAGGTAAGACCATATTTTCCAAGGCAATAGTTTTGCTTCGTCCAAGAATGGATTTGAAATATTTTAATTAAAAATTAGGTAGTCATCTGTCAGGAGTGCTTTGATTGGGTGCCTGGCAGAATGGGGTTGGACTGGATAGTCCTTAGGATCTCTTCCAGCTCTGTGATTCTACCTATAACATGTTTCCATTTAGCTTGTAAAGTCAAATATGTAATATCTGTATTGCCCACTTGATGGCACCAGAGACCACTTTCTGTTAGTTGTCAATGACACAACAGCACCAGTTACTTAGGCGATCCCTTGTTGTCTGAGTATGATGGCCTTCCAAGTGTAGTGTCTTGGTGATGGATACTAGGTGACTGTGGAGCCCTATTCTTGACCCACATAGTCTTCCACATTGAGAACATCGGTTTCCAGGTGGAAGGTGGTCCCGGAAGGTGGTCCCGGTCAGGGTTGACTTGACACGCGTTCCTCTTGGCACGTTTCTCCCTTTCACCCTCCATTTGTGCCTCTTTGACTTTCACAGTACTGCTGGTCACAGCTGACCTCCATCTAGAGCACTCACGTGCCAGGGTTTCCCAGTTCTCATTGTCTATGCCAGAGTTTTTAAGGTTAACTTTAAGCCCATCTTTAAATCGCTTTTTCTGTCCACCAACCTTCTGTTTTCTGGGAGTAGAGTAACTGCTTTGGGAGATGGTGGTTGGACATTCACACAATGTGGCCAGTCCAGTGGACTTGGCGTATGAGCATCGCTTCAATGCTGGTGGTCTTTGCTTCTTCCAGCACACTTGTCCGCCTGTCTTCCTAAGAGATTTGCAGGATTTTTCGGAGGCAGCGCTGACAGAATTGTTCCAGGAGTTGCGTATGGCATCTGTAGACAATCCACATCTCGCAGGGGTATAGCAGGGTCGGGAGGACAATGGCTTTATAAACAAGTACCTTGGTATCCCTACGAATGTCCCGGTCCTCAAACTCTCTCTGCTTCATTCGGAAGAATGCTGCACTCGCAGAGCTCAGGTGGTGGTGTACTTCAGTCTCAATATTGACTTTTGTGGAGAGGTGGCTGCCAAGGGAGCGGAAATGGTCAACATTTTCTAATGTTACACCATTGAGCTGTATTTCTGGCATTGTAGACGGATTGGCTGCTCTCTGTTGGAAGAGAACTTTGGTTTTATCAATGTTTAATGAGAGGCTGAGCTTCTTGTATGCTTCTGCAAAGGTGTTTAGAGTGGCTTGTAGGTCTTCTTCTGAATGCGCACAGACTACATTATCGTCAGCATATTGGAGTTCTATAACAGATGGTGTGACCTTGATTTTGGCTTTTATTCTGCTGAGGTTAAATAACTTGCCATTTGCCCGATAGATTATTTCCACTCCTGTGGGAAGCTTCCCATCAAAAATATGACATATCATAACTATGAAGATCCATCTTCAACAGCACGAGTAGCAGCAACTGGTTAGCTATGAGCATCTTGACAGATCTTGTTGGGTAGCTAAAGTTAGACATGTGGATTGGAAGCTAACCCACCTTAACTCCTGTGAAATGACTTCTGCATGTCAGGATTTGACTTAACCAATGCTCTTTTTGGCCACAGTTTGACTTTGGCTCCTGGATCCCCAATGTCCCGCCCACCATGCGGAGACCCCCACCCACCAAGAAGGGGACCGCAAGCTTGGAGAGCATTCTTAATATCCTTCCCCCGGTCAACATCACCTGCCTTGCCTTGACTTCTCTGTGGCTTCTAAGCAACGAGGTGGGAGATCGGGTAAGCATCCATGAAGCAGAGGGAAGACAACGTTCAGTAACCCAACCCATAAAGAAACCCATGTTTCCTCTCAAAACTCCTCCCAGGTTTAAGACTAAGCAGACCCTCTTGAATCCATCCTCAACTGGAGACCTTGCTATGCTTTAAACTATATTTGTCTTACGTGGGAATGCAAGGAATGTTCACCTTGGGTGCATCTACACCAGGTATGGTCGAACTTGGGCCCTCCAGGTGTTTTGGACTTCAACTCCCACAATTCCTAACTGCCTTAGGCCCCTTCCTTTCCCCCCTCAGCCGCTTATGGATTTTTATGTATGTTTGGATCTTGTTTTCTTTGAGTTTTTATGTATGTTTGGATCTTGTTTCTCATCTGAGCTTAATTCAGGCCCAAGCAAACTCTCATCCCCAAAGCCACAATCAGGAACATCTTCCCCATTTGCATTATGAACATCAGCATTATCATGAACATAAGACACAATCACAGATTTAACAGGCTGACATACAACGGAAAAGAAAAGGGCCTGAGGCTGTTAGGAATTGTGGGAGTTGAAGTCCAAAACACCTGGAAGGATGAAGTTTGCCCATGCCTGCCCTAGAATCACATTGAAGGACCTAGAGAAGGTCATAAAAACTGGTGTGTGTGTGTGTGTGTTATTTTTTTGGGATCATTGCTAAGTGAAACTGTGGGTAATGAATCTGTGGATAAGGGGTGGGGGGGATGGGGTCATATTGTCATTGAACACGTATGGTGAACAGGACCCTTCCAAACACCCATTGTTAATTATTTCTCCCAACTCTCTTCCAGAGACTATTGGGACACTTTCCAGATGAACATTTCTCCGAGACTGAGCCAAAGCGCCTTATAAGAGGCTTTCAAAGCCGCCTGGCCAAAATTTCTCAAGAAATTAATGAGAGGAACAAGTCGTTGGCGCTCCCATATGAATATATCAATCCTCTTCGGGTCGAGAACAGCATCCAGATCTAGGACTCGGGGGATGATGTATGGATTTTGTCATTGCCTGGGCATGGATTGCCCTTCATCCATCTCCAAGACGCTTGGTTATGTGACATGCCGAGCCACCATATTTCTCAACTTCTCCTGGGAAGTGGTGAGATTTTGCACAACTGTGTTTGGCTTTCTGGAGAGCAGGAACAGAGATGTCGGCACGAATGCGGTTTAATGTTGAATCCAAAGAACATTTATGGCCCTCAGATTTGTCTTGTGGGCCTTTGATCTAATTTCAAAGGTCTTTGGCAAACAGACTTTCAAATCTCTTTATAATCTGCCCTTTCTCCAATAGCCTAAAGTTCAAAGGGTTTCAGAGATGGAAAATGTAGGTTTACTGGCTTTGGTTTCTGTTTCCCAAATATGGGCCAGTCTCCCTATCCCCTAAAAATGTTTGCCCAATGCCCACAATCGGTTTAACCCTTTACCGCCCCAAAATGCTCCTGGGTTGCTGTGAAAGTGTGCTAATAGTAGTCTTTCATGCTGCTGACATTGTTTTGGCATAGAAGACTTGACCTCCTATGCTGATGACATAGTCTTATGTTTGCTCTTTTTTATGGATGACATTCTGACTAATTCTGTAAATTCAGAAGCCAGAAAGTCTTTACATCTGTGTTGTCAAAGGCTTTCATGGCTGGAATCACTGGGTTGCTGTGAATTTTCCGGGCTGTATGGCCATGTTCCAGGAGCATTCCCTCCTGACGATTCACCTACATCTATGGCAGGCATCTCCAGAGGTTGTGAGGTCTGTTGGAAACTAGGCAAGTGAGATGAACAACTGCTCTATGACAACTGCTCTATGAACTGTGCCAAGATAAGAAATGCGATGTGCTGTGTGTCCAAGAAACACACAGGGATGAACAACAGAAACGGCCAAAAGTTCCAGGAATGGTCTTAGTAGCGGAAAGACCACATGCGCAGTATGGAAGCGCATTAAATGCTAATCAAGGCCATTAAATGCTAATCAAGGTGGCCAATTGCAACAGTCACACTTGCCTCAGACAGACAAGAGTTCTTTCTCCCACCCTGGATATTCCACAGATATACGAGGGGTATTTTTTAAGTAAGGTCCGTTTTGTTGTAGACACAATTCAAAGATGGCCGTGACAACGTCCATGATGAGGACCGCTCCGGTCGCCCTTCTTTGATTACAGACAATTTGATTTGATCGCACACTCAAATCTTTGGTTTTTGTGGTCCTCTGTTAGGAGTTTCGGGACCCAACGGGAGCACAGTTTCCTAAACTTTAGGTGTTCAGAAACAATGTTGTAAAGCACTGATCTCGACACGTCAGGAAATTCGTTTGAGAGACCTGTTATTGTGAAGCGCCTGTTCTCACGAATCCTCGCTTCAACTGAAGCCACCAAATCGTCTGTAATCAAAGAAGGGCGACCGGAGCGGTCCTCATCATGGACGTTGTCACGGGCATCTTTGAATTGTCGTACCCACTTATGCACTTTGCTTTCACTCATAACAGTATCACCATACACTTCACAAATCTGTCGATGAATTTCTGCAGCAGGCAGGTTCCTTGCTGACAAAAACCAGTATCACTGAGCGAACCTCACATGCGGAGGGTGAGTTGATAGTCTTAAACATTTTTAAAGCACAGAACAGAACCGTACAGGTTAGCTACAGAGCGGAAACTGAGCACAGTTGTTCCCGAGGCATGCTGGTACACGACGCACGCGCTCGTTGCGGTATGCGCGTGAACTACTAGTGTCTACAACAAAACGGACCTTACTTAAAAAATACCCCTCATATATCTCACTGGCCTACAGACTTTACAATATCTGAGGATGCCTGCCATAGATGTGGGCGAAACATTAGGAGAGAATGCTTCTGGAACATGACCATACAGCCTGGAAAACTCACCACAACCCAGTGATTCTGGCCATGAAAGCTTTTGACAATACATTCAAACAGATTATTGGTGAAAATGTGAGATCAGCCTCCCTTCCCTGAAAAGCAACTGCCTGCTACTAGTTTAACATTTTACTTTATCTGAAATGCTTCTAGATAGCAGTGAAAGTGTGTTAAAAGTAAGTTTAGTCACCTTCTACGCTGATGACATAGTCTTATGTTCGCACTTTGCTGTGGACCGAATTTTAGCTGATACTGAGAAGGCAGTTGTCAGAAAGACTTCATTTGTCTTTGGATATTTTTTTAACCATTTTGACTCACTAATGCTACATAGAATCCGCCCTTTAAAAAAACCCTCACTTCTCCAAGCATTTTACCATTTTTTACTCCTCTATATTTCATATAATTGTTGCCTCTGAAAAAACTAAAATCTCTCCAAACATTTTTCCCCCCTGAGAAAAGTAGAAAGTTGGATTGGCTTTCCAAATGTGCCATTGGGGATGCTGGGAAATATAATCCCCCAAAGGACTATGTGCTTTATTACAGACATGGGTAAATTTGGGCCTTCGAAATGTTTTGGACTTCAACTCCCACCATTCCTAACAGCCTTGGGTCCTTTCCTTTCCTCCCTCAGCCACTTAAGCGGCTGAGGGGGGAAAGGAAGGGCCCTGAGGCTGTTAGGAATGGTGGGAGTTGAAGTCCAAAACATTTGGAAGACCAAAGTTTGCCTGTGCCTGCTTTAATGCATGTTTACCATGTGTACCAGCACTGTGTGTTAGGAAAAAAACCTTAGAAAACTTTTCTGGAGAATGATCTAAAATACCCTCTTAAGCAAAGAGCTGATGGACATTCAAGTCAACGTTTCCAGAAAACGACTTTTAAGCTAATTCAGGACTAAGCTGAGAGGTAATCTGTGTGTTTACTGTCGGGAAGGAGTCCGTCGATGTAAAATAACTTTGAAAATGCACGAACTTTCACAACGTCTCCTTTCTTTCTTTCCTTATACAATCCATTGGGCTGAAGCTAGACCTTGGAAAAGCTATGAGGGTTGAATGAAATGTAATGCCTTCACTGGGTTGTAGGTTTTTTTGGGCTATATGGCCATGTTCTAGAGCAGGGGTCCCCAAACTTTTTGAACAGAGGGCCGGGTCACAGTCCCTCAAACTGTTGGAGGGCCGGATTATAATTTGAAAAAAAAAATGAATGAATTCCTATCCAACCTCAAATATCTTATTTGTACTGCAAAAAACACTTTAAATAATACAATAATTAAAATGAAGAACTATTTTAACAAATATAAATTTAGCAGTTTAGAATAAATATAAACCTAGCAGTTTGAAAACATGCAAATGTGAGTAGATCAATAGATACCGCTCCGGCAGGAAGGTAACGGCGCTCCATGCAGTCATGCTGGCCACATGACCTTGGAGGTGTCTATGGACAACACCTGCTCTTCAGCTTAGAAATGGAAATGAGCAGAAGAGTCCCAGAGTCGGACATGACTGGATTTAAGGCCTCCCCCCCCCTCCATCCTCGGGGATGCATCCAAGATGCATCCCGGAGGGAGGAGAGGCTGGGCCCACGGAGGCGACGGGCAAAGCAGACCCGGCTTGGGCTTGCTTTGCCCATCGCCTCCCCCCCTTCGCCCCCCTTCTCACCCTTCTCCACAGCCCGCGGGCCAGATAGATGCCCTCGGGGGGCCGGATCCGGCCCGCGGGCCGTAGTTTGGGGACCCCTGGTCTAGAGGCATTCTCTCCTGATGTTTCGCCTGCATCTATGGCAAGCATCCTCAGAGGTAGTGAGGTCTGTTGGAACTAGGAAAAAGGGTTATATATCTGTGGAATGACCAGGGTGGGACAAAGGACTCTTGTCTGCTGGAGCTAGGTGTGAATGTTTCAACTGACCACCTTGATTAGCATATAATGGCCTGACAGTGCCTGGAGCAAACTTTTGTTGAAAGGTGATTAGATGACCTTGACAACAGAGAGGAAACAAACAAGGACATCTAATCACCTCTCAACAAAAGTTTGCTCCAGGCACAGTCAGGCCATTGTATGCTAATCAAGGTGGTCAGTTGAAACATTCACACCTAGCTCCAGCAGACAAGAGTCCTTTGTCCCACCCTGGTCATTCCATAGATATATAAACCCTTTTTGCTAGTTCCAACAGACCTACCTCTGAGGATGCTTGCCATAGATGCAGGCGAAAACGTCAGGAGATAATGCTTCTAGACCATGGCCATATAGCCCGAAAAAACCTACAACAACCCAGTAATTCCGGCCACGAAAGCCTTTGACAATACATTAATGCTTTCACCTTCATAACTCCTCAACAGAGGGCAGTACTGGTATGCGGCAGATACTGGCTTGTTCAGTAGCCCTTCTCTACAGTTCAATTTTGGTGGGAAGCCTTAGCATTCCCACCAAAGCATGGAACCCTGCTCAGACGGTCGGCAATGTGACTTAAGCAACATGCAGTCATTGAATTGTTGACAGGAGAAGGTGTCACCTCAACATCTTTAAACTTACTCGCCCAACAACGCACAGTACTCACATCAACACAATCACCATAAACAGCTTGCATTCTCTGATGAATCTCCTTTGGGGTGACATCTTCTGCTGTCAAGAATTCAATGACTGCACGTTGCTTAAGTCGCACTGACCGACCGTCTGTGCAGGGTTCCATACTTCGCACTTTAACAACACAACTGTTCAATGCTAAGGCTTCCTGCCAAAATGGAACTGTAGAGGAGAGTCTACTGAACAAGCCAGTATCTGCCGCATACCAGTACTGCCATCTGTTGACGAGTTACAAAGGTGGAGGCATTACTTTTCATTCAACCCTCGTACTTTCTAGAAGACTAGAACTTCCAGAATCCCCTAGTCAGCCTGATTTCCTTCTTCATCTTTTAACCTGAAGCCAAATCGTGTAATATATTGCAACTTTGAATAATGTGATGTTACTTTTGCACAATGTTTTTAAAATGGTGTAAATGATTCTGTGAATCTAAAAATTGATTTCATAAAATGTGAGGATGAGGGATACTTTTAAACAATATGTGAAGCTCGAAGACGTGGCAGGGACTGATTCCGTATGGCTCACGATGCATGTGTAGGTGTGGGCCGGCGGTCGGATTTTATGGTGTAATCCCTGATGTTTTGTGATGTTATTTTAATTAAGACCCTCTGA